AAGGTTTAGTAAAAAAATAAAATAAAGAGCAAATGAAATACGGAATAAAAAACAAAAATTTGTGTACTTGTTTGTCTTACCTAGAAATTATATAAAGTTATTGATCAATAAGTTAATAAGTTAAGTTCCATATTAATTCAATATATTCTGAGATCATGATTGACTTACAACATTAATACTCTTTAATTAGTTTTTTCAATCTAAACACACAAATATTACTTTACAATTTTTTCCTTTCTTTATACATTAAAAAAGAGATTGAGATTAGTCCTTGTCTTGCATTTTCCTTTCTTTTTATAAAGTTGTAGCATTAAAGGTCACACAGTTACTTCGTTAAGAGTTGCATTAATTGAATAAATTTAAACTACTTGATATGTTTTAGATGCTTGTCTTTAACTTCTTTTCTACCATTAGTACTTCAGACTTTATTATTATATGTGTTGAATATAGTGAAAATTATATATGAGATTAATCTCCCTTATATTAAATACATACATGGAGTTCTCTATTTGTAATAGAAATATGAGCTAAGTCCAAAATACAAATAAGAAATAATAACAAACTAACTAAAAGATAAAAGATATAATATATCTAACACTCCCCTCAAGTGCATACAAATCGTATGTACAAAAGCTTGTTACTAATATTAAACAAAAAATAAATTTACTTATATTTCATTATAAATTAAATTTAAATAAAATAAATTTACTTAAATTTAATAAATTTACTTAAATTTACTTAAGTTTAATTTATAATGAAATATAAGTAAATGTTTTTAATATAATAAATTTAATTAAATTAATTATAATAAAAAAATAATTTATAAATTATGCCTTTTTATTTATGTAATTACAATAATTATGGTTAGAAATTATTTAATTGAAATCAATTTTATAAAAGATTTAATTTAATTATAAAAATAATTAAAACAATGAAATTTATTTATTTAATAATATTAAAAAACTGTAATTATTAATTATATATAATTTAAAATGTTTTATATATATTTAAATACATTATTTAAAAATTATAAATCATTTTAAATAATAAAAAAACTAAAAAAATAAAAGTGTGAAAGAGAGCACAACTTCAATTAAAAAAGTCGTCAACCCTCCAAACATTTTCAACTATTAAACTTTTTTATTAATTTAAATAATTTATAAAGAAAAAATTCTTACTAATTAATTATAATTCGAACAAAAAATATAATATAATAATTAAAATTAAAAAAAAATTATAATGAAATATAATTAAAATATTAATTAGATATAATTTACATTATTTTAAATACATTTAAAAACATTGTTTACAAATTATAAATCATTTTAATTAATAAAGAAATTAAAAAATAAAATAAAAAGGTAAAAGTTTGTGGAATGCACGACTTCTCATATTGAAGTCGTCAACCCCTACAACTTTAATTTCTTTATTAATTTTTAATGAAAAAAAGGTGTGGTAATTGATTACAGTGCTTGGTAATCATTTACCACGACCAAATCGTTTTTGGGGTGCACGACTTCAACCTTGGTCAATGCTACATGGTGAAGTCGTGCACGACTTCTTCATTTGAAGTCGTCGGTCTCCTACGACTTGCCCATTCTCGTAATTGGAAATTTTTTTGTCTAAATCTGTAATTTCTTCCTCAAATTTGTCTAATTTCGTATAAAAACCGAGTTATAACACTAAATGGTTTTTCCGAGTTATAACACTAAATGGTTTTTCCAACCTCAAGCTCTCAATGTAAAGATTGGACATAAAAAAAATTCAATTTTTTTACTATGGTATTTTATGTTTAAGATGCATGATCAATTTTTAACGAATATTTTAACCAAAATCAAACAAAAATAATCGCTTAATTCTTATGATATTTTTTTTATCAATTGTTTCTATTTTAAGCATAGATTAAGATTGATTGGACGAGTATGATTATCATTCGGTGTATAACTACTTTGATCAACTAATAAGATTGTGTTCAGATGATTAATTAAGATCGTTAGTAATTTGATTTAAACTATTAAGATAATTAGTAGTTTGATTTGAACAATTAGATTTGTTAATAGTTTGATTTCAACTATTGAGATAGTTAGTAATTTGATTTGAACTATTATGATTGTTAAAATTTCAATTTAACTATTAGGATCGTCATTAATTCAATTTGAACGATTGAGATTGTCAATAATTTGATTTGAACGATTAAGAACGTTACTATTTTTGAATTGAATGATTAAGATCATTACTATTTTAATTTGAATAAAATTGTTAGTAATTTGATTTGAATGATTATGATAGTTTAGTAATTTGATGGGAACTGTCGTCTTATTTTTTTCCGATTCGAGAAGTATACTTGTTTCTGCAACCTTTTTTATGCCTCATAAAAACCTTACAGAAAAAAAATATATTATGATAAAAAAGAAGATTAACAATCCAAGTTAAAGGCTATTATAGGATGACTTTTTCATCAAACAACTCTAATTGACAAGTCTTTCTCCAAAGCTTCACATACTTCATAAGGAGCTGTCTATATTGACTATAAATAATTAGACTTGGTTTATTTTCTTACTCGCGTGACATTATCCTTCTAATTATCTCATTTCTTAATGTCCTCGTATAAAAAAATAAACAAAATAATTTTATTTTAAAAAGTGTAACGTACGACTAATTTATTTATCTCATAATGAGAGTGAAAAGATTCTAAGCTGATAAGTCAAAATATTCTAACTAATAAGTAGGAATACCTTAAGTCTATGTTATCCTTTTCTATTTGTTTACTATCCTTATTAAGGGATTATTCTAATACAAAGATTTCCTTTTTATTATTTGTATTTATTAATTGAGATACTTCTTTAATATCATTTTACCGCCTTAATGTTAATAATATAACTTGCTTTATATATATATATATATATATATATATATATATATATTACGGTCACATAAATAAAGTATTGATCCGGGTATAGATGGAGATGAACCACTACAGTACACCATCAAGTGATGGACTTAAAATTTGTGATCCAACGGATAAAATCGAGTAGATGCGATAAGAAAAAGTTATATATTTATTTACAACAAAAATGAATATAAGAAAGAAAAGAAAAAGAAAAAAAAAGCAGCTTGAGATAAAAGAAGCTGAAACCGTTACACCTGGGAAGGAAGAGGGAGAAGGAGTGATGATATGGCTAGGTACAAAGTGTGTGTGAAATTTAGGTGCCAAGCCAAAAAGCAAGCAGTTGAGAAAGGTCCCATCCGTGCGCGACAGCAGAATCAAACCCACTTACTCTTATTCTTGGTGCAATAAATGAAACCCCATTTTGCTTCCTACCTTAGCTAGCTGTATCATTGCCTCCTCAATCATTTATTTCCACACACCTCAAAACAAAATATCACCATTTTTTTTCATGTTCAACTTTTAAGCAAGCGTCACACTAATTAGGTGTATTAGTCGCCATGGAGTAACCTAGTTAGAGGTTAATCCTACAAACAAAACAAGGAAAATGAAATTTAAGATGTCGACTTTGGCATCAACATCTTAAAGGGACCCTATATTTCTGTGTAATTTTACATAAAGCTGTCGTACGCCACCTTTTAACCACTCCAATTCTCTCTCATGTGCCCCTGTTATGTTATCATCTACCTCGTGCTTAGATTCCCAATAGACGCACTTGTCAAATTATTTTTACTATTATATTCTTCATCTCCTGCATCACCACGAGGGGATGCAGTATATCTGTAATTCTCTATATGACTCCATTGCCAAGTGTCAACCATATAACATAATTCAATTCCTTTCTGCTCTACGAGTCCTCTCTTGTCACGCGACACCACGTGACTTTTTCTTTCTTTCTTTTTAGTTCCTGTTTAAATTAACTCAAGTTAGTTTAAAGATCAAATGGATGTATGGTTCTTACATGACAATTTTTGAGCGGTGCTATTGGTTTATGTTTGTCATTTGAGACGGGTTTGATCTTAAATAATCCGAGATTCTCAGGACAAATGGAGGGTGTCATAGATCGCATCATGGATGAACAAGTTTTGCGAAAAGGAGCAGGTTTTTGTATTCATGAGAATGAGAATCCTATCAGGGTTTGATTTTTTTAAGTATGGATCAGATCCAAAGTTTATTATGCTTGACAGGGTAAATAGGAACAACATCTGAATCACAGGAGAGTGTAGCAGCATAGCATCAAGTCCACTCCCAAAACATATTCTTTATAAATAAATAAAAATTCAAATCTAATTAAAATCTATGGGTCACACCCTTTATTCGAAAGTTTTATTTTCCTTTCAAAATAATAAATTATTGCATATGGACTCTGCATCCTGTGTCGCCTGTAGTAAAAAAGAGTAAAGCTTTATTCTGATCAACGCAACGCTAGCAGCTAATTCAAAACAGAAGAAGAGAAAACAAGAACTATTCATTATGCACTGCGTGGGTTTTATGAAGCAGCATTTACACAAGTATTCAAGACCCTCTCGGAGAGTGTATAAGTTTTCTTCTTCTTTTCTTCCTTCTCTTAAAATTAAATAAAAATGGATTGATTTAAAAGTGTTTTATAGGAAGAAATGAGGAAACAAATTCATACGAGAAAGGAAAGTGAGAACTTAAGTAGTTTAAGCAATAAGAATATTTACTTTCACATGATGTTACATATAAAACCAACGTATTTCCTGTTTAAAGAAGAGTATCAAATCTGTCGTTATCATATGAAAACCGTATGTTTCTTTGGGCCATGATTAAGAGGTTATAAGGTCATCAATAGCATAAGCCTAAAACATTAGCTCTTAAATCTAATTAGGTTATATTTAGATTTAACTAAATATACCTTTCAATACAAAATGGAGAGTCAGACTCAAAACTAGTTGGCCAAGGACAGAATGTGTCGTGGTAGACAAAATGAGCCTGCCCATATTTTTAGGATATAATTCGTCTCATCCATGTCACTAAAAAATCCAAGAGAAAATGAGAGCTTATTTTATAACAAAGCTACATCAAAAGATAAACGGTTGATATTGAAACAAAATTTAGAAAGAAAGGCACTCACCCACCCATCCCATCTCTGTTATGTTATTCTCAAAATTTTAAACTGTTATAATTCTTCTACTACCCACCCACCCCTGCACTCCACTTCAACATAAACAAATACTTATAGACAACCATCTAAAATTCCATTTCTTCCTGCAGAAACATCATGGCCTAGCTGTTTCTTGGATCCGGAGATTCTGGGTTATTTTAATTTGTATATAATAACTCTTTTTTTATAAACACAGTAACCTACAAGACATGATTTGGTTCCTTCCCGTTGTTCCTCCCTAGGCTCAAACCTTTCTGCGTGTTCTTTCATTGGAGTTCGTAGCTTAGTTGTAATGCCTGTAAATCCATGGACCCTCTTCTTCTTATGCATTTCCCTTATGCTCCCACTCCATTTTCTCACAGCTGCTGCAGTGAACCAACAAGGGGAGGCTCTTCTATCATGGAGGAGAACCCTGAACGGGTCCCTGGAGGTATTGAGTAACTGGGACCCAGTTCAAGTCACCCCATGTAGCTGGTATGGAGTGAGTTGCAACACGAAGAACGAAGTAGTACAGCTGGATCTGAGGTATGTGGATTTGCTTGGAAGACTGCCCAGTGATTTCACCTCATTGCTTTCCTTAAGCAGTCTGATCTTAGCCGGAACCAATCTCACGGGTTCAATTCCAAAAGAAATAGGTTACCTTGTGGAACTCAGCTACTTGGACTTAAGTGACAATGCCTTGAGTGGCGAAATACCAAGTGAGCTATGTTACTTGCCTAAACTTGAGGAACTCCATCTCAACTCCAATGATCTCGTGGGGTCCATTCCAGTTGCAATTGGAAACCTCACAAAGTTGCAGAAGCTGATCCTATATGACAACCAACTCAGCGGGGAAATTCCTACCACAATCGGCAACCTTAAGAGCCTTCAAGTGATAAGAGCAGGAGGAAACAAGAACCTGGAGGGTCCTCTACCACAAGAAATTGGCAACTGTTCCAGTTTAGCGATGTTGGGTCTTGCTGAAACAAGCCTCTCAGGTTTTCTGCCACCAACTCTTGGCCTTCTGAAGAACCTTGAAACCATTGCCATTTACACTTCCTTACTCTCCGGTGAAATACCACCTGAACTTGGGGACTGCACAGGGCTCCAAAACATTTACCTTTACGAGAACTCTCTCACTGGATCAATACCAAGCAAGTTGGGAAACCTTAAAAACCTCGAAAACCTTCTACTGTGGCAGAACAATCTAGTTGGTACCTTGCCCCCCGAGATTGGCAACTGTGAGCGGTTGTCAGTGATTGACGTGTCAATGAACTCACTAACCGGAAGCATTCCCAACACTTTCGGGAACTTGACATCATTGCAAGAGCTCCAACTCAGTGTAAACCAGATTTCGGGGGAGATTCCAGGAGAACTGGGGAAGTGTCAGCAACTCACACATGTGGAGCTTGACAACAATCTCATCACTGGTACCATACCTTCCGAATTAGGAAACCTTGCTAATTTAACGCTCTTGTTCTTATGGCACAACAAGCTGCAAGGTAACATTCCCTCTTCCCTTTCCAATTGTCAAAACCTAGAGGCTATTGATCTGTCACAGAATGGATTAACGGGTCCCATACCCAAGGGGATATTCCAGCTCAAGAATCTCAACAAGCTTTTGCTCCTATCCAATAACCTCTCAGGGAAAATTCCATCTGAAATTGGGAATTGTTCTTCCCTAATTCGATTCCGAGCCAACGACAACAACATCACCGGGAACATTCCCTCGCAGATTGGGAATCTCAACAATTTGAATTTCCTTGACCTAGGGAATAATCGGATTTCCGGCGGTATCCCGGAGGAGATATCTGGCTGCCGGAATCTCGCATTTCTTGATATACATTCGAACTTTCTCGCCGGAAACCTACCAGAAAGTTTGAGCCGGCTTAATTCGCTTCAGTTTCTCGATGTTTCCGACAACATGATCGAAGGTATACTAAACCCCACCGTCGGCGAACTCACCGCGCTCTCCAAACTAGTTCTCTCGAAGAATCGAATCTCCGGCTCAATTCCGAGTCAAATTGGGTCTTGTTCTAAATTACAATTACTGGATCTCAGTAGCAACAATCTCTCCGGCGAAATCCCCGGCAGCATCGGCAACATTCCGGCATTGGAAATCGCTCTGAATTTGAGCCTGAACCAACTATCCGGCGAGATCCCTCGGGAGTTCTCCGGATTGACGAAGCTCGGAGTGCTGGACATATCTCACAACACTCTCAGCGGAAACATTCAATATCTCGCGGGTCTGCAGAATCTGGTGGTGCTCAATATCTCGAATAACAAATTCTCGGGACGAGTTCCGGATACGCCTTTCTTCGCGAAGCTGCCGTTGAGTGTGCTGGCGGGGAACCCGGCGCTGTGCTTTTCCGGAAACGAGTGCAGTGGCGACGGCGGCGGAAGGTCGGGACGGCGGGCTAAGGTAGCGCGCGTGGCGATGGTGGTCCTGCTGTGCACCGCGTGCTTGCTGCTCATGGCGGCGCTATATGTCGTCGTCGCAGCGAAACGGCGAGGGGACCGCGAAAACGACGTGGAGCTAGATGGAAAGGACAGCGACGTGGACATGGCCCCACCTTGGGAAGTGACACTGTACCAGAAACTCGATCTGTCCATCTCTGACGTAGCTAAATGTCTCACTGCTGGCAACGTCATCGGCCAAGGCCGATCCGGCGTCGTTTATAGGGTCGACTTGTCGAGTACGGGACTCGCCGTGGCGGTGAAGAAGTTCCGGTTGTCGGAGAAATTCTCCGCGGCGGCGTTCTCGTCGGAGATTGCCACGCTTGCGCGAATCCGTCACCGGAACATCGTGCGGCTGCTGGGTTGGGGGGCCAACAGGAGAACCAAGTTACTGTTTTACGATTATTTACCGAATGGTAACCTGGACACGCTGTTACATGAGGGGTGCACAGGATTAATTGATTGGGAGACGAGGCTCAAGATAGCGTTGGGGGTGGCTGAGGGCGTGGCTTATTTGCACCACGATTGCGTGCCTGCTATCTTGCACCGGGACGTCAAGGCGCAGAACATTTTGTTAGGAGACAGATACGAGCCCTGTTTGGCGGATTTTGGTTTCGCTCGATTCGTGGAAGAGGATCACGCATCCTTTTCGATTAATCCACATTTCGCCGGCTCCTACGGTTACATTGCTCCCGGTAAGTCAATCAATTTTCTTCTTTTTGAGTTAAAAACTATTCATTTTTTTTCTTTTTTCATTGATTAACAAGCTTATCCAGTGATATATATGGGGATTTGTAAATAAGGAGAGTGTTGATTTTAATTAGATGATACCGGTGAAATAAATTAACGGGATAAGAAATTTGAAATTGATAGTGAGAATTTGAGTTTTCCACACGGACGTTGGTGAACGGGGACCGTACGGAATCCATCGTGAAGGCTTCCATTCATTATGGTTGATGTTTAGTGATTTGTTGCTTTTTGGGTTTGATTACATGTACATCTGATGTACTTGATGGCACAAAGTTACAAATCCCCTGCATGCATCTATAATAATTACATGTAATCTTTGTGTTTGGACAAGTGAAAGGCATGATGGTGCCGGCAAAAAAGCCAAATGATCACGAGTGACACACAGGGAATGCGTCCAACCTAATTTGATTAATCGTTGTTGAACTACTTTACAGACAGCAAATGTCTCTTGCCTGTGTCTGGATAACATGTGGAGAGTATATAATGTTTTTTTGGGTTGGAATATTGCAGAGTATGCTTGCATGCTTAAAATCACAGAGAAGAGCGACGTGTACAGCTTTGGAGTGGTCCTACTGGAGATAATAACGGGGAAAAGGCCAGTGGATCCATCATTCCCGGATGGGCAACATGTTATTCAGTGGGTCAGGGAGCACCTCAAGAGCAAGAAGGACCCGATCCAGGTTCTAGATTCCAAGCTCCAAGGCCATCCAGACACACAAATCCAAGAGATGCTACAAGCACTTGGTATTGCCCTCTTGTGCACAAGTAATCGTGCAGAGGATCGACCGACAATGAAAGATGTTGCAGCATTATTGAGAGAAATTCGTCACGATCCTCCACCAGGCGCTGAGCCCCACAAGCCCAAACCCATTACATCTCAAGCTTCATCCTATTCCTCCTCCTCTGTCACCCCTGCTCAGTTGTTGCTCCTACAATCTACCTCCAACTCCTCCTCATCCCTTGCTTATTCCTCTTCCTCAGCAACACCCTACCCCCCTCCAAGGAATCAATCCTCCATTCAAATTTAATGCCTCTTTCTATTGGAAAATGACACTTGAACAACCATTTTTGACAACATTTAGACACGCGCACACGTGTCAAAATCTGAGTGGTCCATTTTCATTTAATTTTTCCAACTGGACCACTCAGATTTTGACACGTGTGCGCGTGTCTAAATGTTGTCAAAAATGGTTGTTCAAGTATCATTTTCCCTTTCTATTTCAGGAAAAAAAAACATATATATGTTAATTACTATATTTTTAGGATTTAGATCTTTTTAGTTATTTTGATTGGTTGATTAATTAGTTAGTACTAGTGATTAACGTCAGTGTAATTTCGGAACTGATTGGATAAGGTAAAAGGTAAAATGAAATGAGTGTACAGAAGCTTAATTGATTGACAGGATTCCTTTTCTTTTATTACTCACTTCACACAAACTGTGGCTTCTGCCACCATCTTAACTGCACTGGTTGTGTAAAATATATGAGGGGGTCTACATTCATGTCCTTATATGGTATAAAATCAAAAGGGGGGGCTTTCCATAAGAAGCTGCTTTCATCAATTCTTCAAAAGAGGGCAATAATATGTGTGGTGTAACTCTGAAAGCCAAAGAGTAAAAGTGGGAGATGTCAGGTTGAGCAGGAAGGTAGACTATCACTAGGTACCTTTTGAGCCATCTTTCGCTTCCATTATGATTGTTGCTGATTATGGAAAAGGAAGTGAGTTGGCTTGTTTTCGTTCAACTAACTTTCTTGGCCCGCACCATGTGGAGAAGTAGAAGCATTCTCCATTCAAGTCTAGAACACTTATGGCCAAGCAATTACCAATCACTACCACCACACTTTTCCGTACATAACCCTTTCCTTTCCATTACACCCTATAGCAACTTCCTTTGCTTTCAATAGCTGACAACACACGACCATCGTCTCATCAACACACCAAATGCAACCACGGTAATGTGCTGCGTTTCTTCCTCTTCCAATTTTTCAACCTTCAGTATTATTTCAAGACTGTACAAAAAGAGTTACCTTTCACCAGAGGGTGCCATTTTGATGGTGCGTAACAGCTGCACGTGCAGATCAATCTGTACCTCAGACTCTGGCTGTGCCCCCCCTCATGCCTGGGATCTTTCATGTATTGCTTTAAAGAGAAAAGAACAAATTACATATGCGAGCTTCCATCAAATAATGAAAATGACAACCAAACATTACCAAGTAATTTATAATTTACTTCTAATTTTATTTTTCTTTACGTGATACCTGAAAAAAAAAAAAAAAAAGCTAGGCGTTACATGCATGTGTCATTTATTAGAGAGATTTACTGCAGCCATAACAGGTATGGCTGGTTCTGGCGTCGATTTTCACATTCCGTGTATAGCCCAAAAAGTGTAAATTAACATTCCGAAAAAGTGCGAGCAAAATAAATTACTTAGTGAGGGTCATGGGTCATACCCTCTTAGGGTAGATAAAGTGATATTTTTATCTTGTCCTCAAATTGCGAAATACCTATAAAATTATCATCATAGTTGTGTGGGCGATGATTGACTTTCAGTAGCGACCAAGGAAAGTCTCTTATTTAAACCTTAAATTATATGTCGGACGTTAACCATAGTTTTTTATTGAATACGTGGACCATGCCTATCTCTATTTCATCCAAAATTATTTTTAACAGTTTAAATTCTCCTTTCAATTCAACAAACACTTGAATTTAGTACACCATCTTAGATCTTGAAACCAAAGTTAAACATACTTTGTCGTAATAAGAGGGAAATAATAGACAAGCACAAAAGTTTGATGGAAATGCTTAACCATAAAGTCCCATATCAAAAGGCACCTTTTGGAAATGACTACATACCCGTGCCTTGTGCCTCGTGCCTCGTGCCTTGCAGGTAAAAACACAAATATTTAAAGAATACAATGAATAACAAATTTAAAATATAATAAACTAAAAATAACTCAACATTATAAATTGTATTTAATACACTGTTACTAAAAATTTTAAATATCTTACAATAAAAAATACAAACTTGTAAATATTTTCTTGGTAAATAAGTTCACACTTAAGCCAGAAGAAAACACTACGATCAAAGAAAATCTTGAATGAAATACTTAATGTTTGATTACTTTTAACGAAAGCCACTTTTGTAATTAGAATAATAAATTAGTGGAACGAAAGATTTTGATATCCATTGTTTTTACATTATATTTTGACGGCAGTGATACTTGGCTCTAATGTTTCTGACGTGGGTTTTAAAATTCAAAATTGATACTTTATATTTCACATATGAGAAAAATATGATTCATTAGACTTCGTAACAGAAAAAGATTAACTTGATCCGATTTTTCACAATTGAAATCACTTCAAATTTTTTAAAAAATATATTTTTCGAGAGACCAAATATATTAATACCTAAAACATGTGAAATTAATAAATTTATTTGATATTTGTATACAAAGTCAATTACCTTCGACATATTTCATTTTAATATTGCATCACAAAAACATGGAACCAGAAGTTAGTGTTGCAAAAACGTACATCACTGCTTCATACCTCTAATATTTGTAAAATTATTAGGTAAATTGAATTCAATAAAATATAAAAAGATCAATTACTTACTTATCAACTCAATGATCATGTCTCATTGAGTCCTTTACATTTCTCTAAAACTCAGAAAGATATGATTTGGCATAGAGAAGATCAATAACATCTTTAAATTCACGAGTCTAATAAGAAAAATTTTGATACATTACAAAATCATACATTTAAGATGACATGCTAAACAGAAAAAGATAAAATAAAAATAAGTAAAACACATCACTAGATGACGTTTTTGAATTATTGTTATAATATTTAAAATTAATAAATATTTATAGTCAACGATCCTTACTTTATTCTCCGTATTTTACATTTTTTCATAATCAATATTAGTCTTTTAAGAAAATCATATATATTACCGTCATTCTTATCAATAAAGTCTCACAACTCCAAATAATTTATCCAGTGACTAATACAAATTTATTATCTACTAAAGGGATTTTTCACATTGACCATAAAGAGAGAGGAGGGAGGAATTTCAATTTTAAAGAAAATAAAAACAAGTTAATTTATCAATAGCTAAGAAAAAAGAGAGGAAATTCTTTCACTTTTTTATGGAATATCAAATTTACCCCAAGTGGAACCTCACCTTACATCTAATAAACGTTACATTGATTTATTAATGACAGAGTACTATTTATAATATACTCTGTATTTTCATTCATACATTTATTTAGTTTTACTTATATTTTTCTAATCAATTATTTTTTATCTGCACACAAAAATTATATGTTTATTACAAGTCAATATCATTTTTAAAAATCTATATAAGTTAACTAATCTATCTATTTTTTTAAACCACATTATTCGTTTAACGGATGTGCTATGATAAAAATGTTTTGGAGTATTATTTTGCATCCAACTTTATACAGTAACGCCAGCAAATTATGATCCCTAACCTGATAACCATTATATTTGATGAGTATGTTTTTCAAGGTGGAAGATGAGAGTCATTGGTCATAGATTATTCATCAATTTCATGTCATAAATTTGAAAGAAGCATGCATTTAGGTTTGTTGGATCACAAAATTGGACTCTCTCACTTACAATCACTTTTAGATTATTGCTTCTGGGCAACTTTTCTTTTATAAGAAAGACTAAAAATAAATAATAATATTATTCGTTGTTCAACATTATATTTTTTGTCATTTTTCTATAATTTTTATACTTATTTTCTAGGTTACACTAATAAAAAAAGACTTTTTACTTATGTTATTTTAAGTTTTTTTCATATATTGTAGGTCAGACGTAATTACTTACATTTATAACATATATAATTTTACCTTTGTTACAAAAGGAATAGATCCTATTTTTTTTTTCTCAAATCTACACCAAATTTCTTCTTTTCCTTATTCATACTATTCTTATTCTTTTTCTACTACTTAAAAAAGAAAAAAATTGGTACAAATTTAAAAAAAAAAAGAATTTATGATTTGTTGCTTTTATATTAAAGATAAATTTACATATGTTAGAAATGTAAAAGACGTAAATTTACGTCTTCAGACATTATTTTTTATATATAACAAACAAAAGAAAATATAAAATAATATATATGTAAAAGGTCTAATTTTGTCAGTATAACCAAGAATAAAAGTATAAACATTATAAAAAAATTGCAAAAAATATAATACGGAACAAAGAATAGGATTATTATTTATTTTACATTTTTTGGTTTATCTTATAATCATTTGAGTTTTCTCAAATGGTATTATTCTCACTTTTTACATTTTATTTGGTTTATATATTCTTGAATGACTAAAACTTAAACTAATCTATATATTCACTTAACCTAATCGATATGATGAACTGTAAACGAGGAATCCTTTTGTGAAACATACTCTCATACCTTTTATGATGTTACCTCATACCCTCTATGTATATATCAACTCAATGGTTTTATCATACACAAAAAAATATGAATAAAAATATAAATTAGGATTTTTTTTTCTTTCTTTGAAGTGTGTAAAAATATTTTTTTTCCCTCAATTTCGTGATTATTCATGTATTTTTGTCCTAATGAGTATCTATCCAACGTTAAGTGGTCTTAAGACATTTTGTATGTTCTAAAACATTAATCGTTAAATATTAGTAAATGTTACTTATAAATAACAAAATAGTAATTAGCATACAAGTAGTGTTAAAAAAAATGTTTTTCTCCTAAAATTTTATTAGAAGTTCATCGTCTAAGTGAGTATTGTGAATTATATAGACACTATAAAGTCACATATAATAACACATAAGCAGCTAGTTTTTATATGAAATAGTGCTACACACTATATTTGGATCATATTTACTTCCTTCATGGTTTTAATTCTACGTTGAAAAAAAAAATTGTTCGACTTTTGCAAAATTTCGACCTAATCTTAGATAGTAGACTCGATTCTAACATTTCATTGTTTTTCTTTGTTATTTTATTAATTTTAACTAAAATATATACCTTTCTTATTTAAGCGA